TTTGTTGATAAAATTCTTTATGAGAATTCAATTTTAAGAAACATTCAATTATTCAATTATTTATTTTTGTGTTTAAATAATTGAATTCTCGTAGAATTTTCTTATAAAAATTGATTTCAAAATGATTTTCAGTGGAAATTTAAAATAATAATTGAATATTAAAAGCATTATAGCGTGAATTTTTAGAAATAATTAAATTTTGAAAAAGTTTAAATTGGATTTTTTTTAAAAATTATTTCAAATTTTTATTTTCTAAACATTTAATTGAAAAATTTCGTAAAATTGAATTGTAATCAAATGGATTTAAAAATTCTCTAGGAACTTTTGCAAAAATTATTAAAAATAATTGATAATTGTTAATTGATTTCTTTCGAAGAATTTTAATAAAATTTTTGAAATTAATTACATTTTTCGAAGAATTTACTTAAAATTATATTAAAATTTTTTGTCTTTAATCTTAGAGTGAATCAGAATATTTTTTAGTGTCACGGAAAAAGTCGAAATTTTGTCCCAAAATCAAAGAAAGTTCAGGAAAAACCGAAATTAAATTTTTGTCGTAACCCTGATGGGAAAAAAACTTAAAATATCTATTTAAGAAAAATGGGAAATATAATGTTTAAAAAATAAATTAATTAAAGACTTATACATTAAGAGTTAAAAAATTATCTTTCGCAATTGAATAAAAAATGTGATGAAAATTTTTTTTAAGTGTCATTATTGTTTCTAATTAGTGTTCATCAGTCATTATGCTTTTTCACTAATTACCAACGAGATTTGATAACGACAAATATTCTGAAAGCTTTATTATAAATGTTTTATCTAGAAAACAATAATTTATATCCCACTTCTTATATCTTTCGAGCAGATCAACCTGAAAAATAAAAAAAAAATGCACTTTGATAATAAATAATAATTCGGTCCGAAGTTTGTCAAAAAAATTTTTTTTATATCTTGAACTCGTTTCTTTAAAAAAATTAAATTTTTTTTTTAAATTTTAGGATTGCAATACAATTTTTTGTCATTATAAAATAATATTATTTTTATCATTGTTATTGTTTATGTAAATTAATATATAAAATTAAAATTTTAATGAATATTAATAGAACTGTTAATATTATAATAGTTATTATTTTTATTATTAAATTATTTAAAATTAATGTTATAATTTTTTTTTTTTTTTTAATAAAAAGGCTTCAATTTTTTGTTAATTAAATTACTCGAAATTAATATTATTTATTAAATATTAATATTATTCGGAAAAAAAATGAAGTTAAAAATTTCTAATTGTAAAATTAATGGAATAGTTAATTTTTGCTATAAATTATGAAGTCAGAGGATGTACGAGATGAGATTTTAATGATTCAGACACAAGGGCAAATCTTACAGTGAGACAGCCAGTAACTTCCAAATTTGGTATTACATTTGTAAAAGTTTGGATTACAGAGACGACACACTTACCTTATTTGTAATGGATAAATTATACAAAACGTGTTCCTTTTTTTTATTTTTAAACCTTATATTTATATATTAAATTCCTTTTATTTTAACTTTTTTTACAATATACTTATATTTAGGAAATGTAAAATATATTTGATGTAATTTACATTTTACTCCACTCCCTCTTTTTTTTCGCATGTGATTTTTAATAATTGTGGGATTAATTAAAATTACAGTTATCTAACAGTGATATTTTAATTTAATTAAAAACTTTTTTTTTCGCATGTATACCCGAGATGATAAACAAAAAATGAGAAGGAAAAAAAAATTAATATTCTTTGTTTCTGGATATGAAAAGAGTATTTTGTATTATTAACGAAACTTTGAAAATTTAATTAATTTACTTGTGTGTGAAATTTAATTATTATTCCCATGAAAATTTAATCCTCTCATTGAAATATTGATTTTCTTTTCAAGGGAATATTTAATGTATAACTTTATATTACGGTGATGAGGGAGTGTTTTTTTTTGTTTTGTTAAATATTTTTGTTAATAATGTATTAAACTGATTTTGATTTGTAATTCTACAATTGCTGATTTTTTATTTATTTTATTTTATTTTTTTTTAATTTTAAAATACTTGAATTTCATCGAAGAATTATATTAGTTATGAAAATCATTGGATTTTTGCGAAGAATTTTACTTAAATTTTTGAAAATTCTAATTAAATTTTTTTGAAGTGTTAAATTTCTTTGAATTTTTTTAAATAATGGAGGTTTTTTTTATTAATTTTAAATGATAATTTTGAAAGTAATTGAATAAATCATAATAAAAAATTAGTAATTGAATTTTTATAAACAATTTCTTTCAAGTTAACAAAAAAAAAAAAAAAAAAAAAAAAAAAAAAAATAATTAGTAATTGAATTTTTATAAACAATTTCTTTCAAGTTTTTAAAATAATCGTGATTTGTTTATAATTGAAATTAAATACTTACTTCTTGAATTTTATTAGAATTTTTGTAATTAATTAAATTTCTTTAAGGGCATTTGAACCTTGATGACGTCACACATGCTTTGCACAATCTGTAACGTCATCAAGGTTCAAATGCCCTTAAGGAATTTCTTTTTTTTTTTAAATAATGTAGTTTTTTGAATAATTTAAATTCAAAAATATTGAAAATAATTGAATGAAAAAAATAATTTTTTCAACTTTTTAAAATAATTGTGTCTGGTAATAATTATAATTAAATATTTGATTATTAAAGTTTATTAAAATTGTTTAGAAAATAATTGAATTCCTGAGAAGAATTTTAATATTTATAAAAAATAATTGAATTCTTACGATGAAATTTCATGGGAAATAATTAAATTTTTGCAAAGATTTTATAATTTAAAAAAGAATTAAATTGTTTACAGGGATTTATTAAAATTTTAGACAATAATTCAATTATTTCAAAGAAATTTTATTAAAAATTAAAAAAAATTCAATTGTTTCGAAGGATTTATTAAAATTTTAGAATATAATTGAATTCTTCCGTGAAATTTTATTAAAAATAATTGAATTTTTGCAAAGATTTGACTATTTAAAAAAATAATTGAATTGTTTCGAGAGATTTATTAAAATTTTAGAAAATAATTGAATTTTTTCAAAGATTTGTCTATTTAAAAAAATAATTGAATTGTTTCGAGAGATTTATTAAAATTTTGGAAAATAATCAAATTATTTCGAAGAATTTATTAAAATTTTAGAAAATAATTGAATTATTTCGTGAAATTTTATTGAAAATAATTAAATTTTTGCAAAGATTTTACTATTTATTAAAATTTTGGAAAATAATTGAATTATTTGGAGAAATTATTTTGAAAAGAATTAAATTTTTGCAAAGATTTATTTTAAAAATATTATTTATTTAAAAAAATAATTGAATGGTTTCGATGGATTTATTAAAATTTTAGAAAATAATTGAATTATTTCGGGAAATTTTATTGAAATTTTGTTGAAAATAATTGAATTTTTGCAAAAAATTTACTATTTTTAAAATTAATTGAATTCTTCATAGAAATGTTATTATATTTATAAAAATAATTATAAATTCTTGCGAAAAATTCTATTTAAGTTTAAAAAAAATTGAATTGCTTCGAAGAATTTTTAAAAACTTTAGAAAATTATTGAATTTTTTTGTGAAATTTTTGGAAAATAATTGAATTTTGGCAAAGATTTTACTATGAAAAAAAGAAATTGAATTTTTTCGATGGATTTTTTAAAGTTTTAGAAAATAATTGAATTATTTTCCGAAATTTTATTAAAATTTCATTGAAAATAATTGAACTTTTGCAAAAATTTTACTATTTATAAAAATAATTGAATTTTTCCTAAGAATGTTATTATATTTATAAAAATAATTAAATTTTTGCGAAAAATTCTTTAAAAATTTTTGAAAATATAAACAATAATAATATTAATAATTATAATTGAATGAGTGCATTTTTGTTAGAATGTATTATTTTAATCGGAAATATGTGAAGAAGAAAATATTGTTTCAGGGTTTTTTTTTTCTTTTTTTCAGTATGTAATTCTGCGTTGATAGAAAGCCCATGTGTATTCTTTGGATGATACAGCAAAATTTTTCACGTAGTACATTTTTATAAATGTTAGTTTTTGTAACTGCACGGAAACGTTTATTTTTTTCTTCCTTGTTATTAAAAAGAGAGAGAAAGAGAAGTAAAAGAAATATTAAACACTGACAATAAACTATTATAGAATATTGTCGTCAATATTTAATATCAGATATTTTATTTCACCTCTTTTAATATTAAAACTTTTATTTTCCTTCCTATACTGTCTGTATAAAGGAGACTACTTTAAAAAAAAAATAATAATAAAACTCTTTTAATTTTCAGTACAAAATTGCAAGTTTTATTTTTTTTTCATTTTGTGCTGTTTTTTTTTATTTTTTCTTTACATTTTTTTAATACGTAATTTTCCATTTCTTTCGTTAATTTTTTATTGTATTTTGTTTCTTTTTGTTGTATGTTTATTTATTTTGTATATATTTTATTATAATTATTATTTAGTATTTTTTAATAATAAGAAAAAATGAAGAAATTCAGCAAATTCTTTAAGTATTTTTTTTTATTATAAGTGTTATTTTTTAGCACAATTTAATTTGAAGTATTTTTTAATGTGAATTAAAATAATTGTTTTCTTAAAAACCACTTGTTATTGTATTGTGGTTTCCTATTTTTATCACTTCGCGGTTTTGTAAATTTATTTTTAAAACATTAGTAGTAATATTATAATTATTATAATTTGTATTATTATTATTTTTTTTATTATAATTTTTTTCCAATTAATTTAAATTAAATCAATAAATTAACGGCCCCTAGGGAAGCGTTACCTTGATTGACCCTTGAACTTAAGGTCAAATTTGACCTAAATTTTGACGTTACGGCCCCCTAAAGGGGCCGTTAGCTTGAATGACCTTAAGAAATTGGGATAGATTATTATTATTATTATTATTTAGTTATTTTTATAATAATAAATTTATTAAATTTTTTTGCAGGAAGAACCAGCAACTGTTTCCGCATTGAATGAAGGAGAACTGAGGGCATTATTAAACGAAGCCTTAACATATAAACGTCCCAAAGATCGTGAAGGAAAATCCGATCTTTTCAAGGTAATATTTTATCAAATTTTTAATTATGAAACTTTTCTATTAATCGGAGGTTTGCTACATAAAATTTTAAGTGATCTAATACGTATTGTGATCTTGCTTAACATTACTTTAAACTTTAAATAATCGTTACTTTAACGTTAATTTTTAGTTACTTTAAGATTTCTTTAACGTTAATTTTTAGTTACTTTAAGGGTTCTTTAACGTTCCTTTAACGTTAAATTATAGTTACTTGACCGTTAAATTAACATTGCTGTCAAATCAATTTAATCGTATTTTTAACTAACTTTGTTTTAATATTACTTTAACGTTGTTTTACTATTAATTCACTATGTATTAGAAATTTTATTAATTTTTACAATATTTTACCATTGCTATAAGATTACTTATATTAAAGTTTCATTACCATTACGTTTGCGTTGTTTAATATTTAATTCAACGTCACTTTCACTGTTTTAGCGTTTCTTTAGCGTTGCTTTAACTGTATTTCATGATAATTTTAATGTAACCTCAAAGCTACTTTATAAGTGCTGTAAATTTACAGTAAGGTTTCTTTAACATTTCTTTAACGTTATTCTAACGTTATTTTAAGCTTGCTTTAACGTTATTTTAAGCTTGCTTTAACGTTACTTTAACATTGCTTTAACGTTAATTTAACGTTGCTGTAACGCAACATTAACGTTACGTAATTTAGATTAATCATATTTGACCAATTATTTAACATTACTTTAATATATTTCTTTAACATTAAAGTATCTCAGTACTTCTTTCACATTACAGTTACTTTACCATTACTTTAACGTTGTTTACTATTTAAATCAACGTTACTTTAACATTATTTGAACTTTCTTTTACCGCAGCTTTAACGTTGCCTTAACTTTATTTTATGATGATTTTAGTATAACTTCAAAGCTACTTTAAACTACTGTACATGTAAATTAACTTTTTGGAAAAATTACTTTTAACGTTTTTTTAACGTAACTTTAACGGATTTTTAACGTTATTTTGAAAAGAATTTTATTTTACTTAAATATTTCATTAACATTAATATTTCTTTTAGTTTTCTTGAACGTTTGTTAAGCCATTAATTCTAAAGTAACGTTTAAGTTTTGCTAAAATAAAAAATAAACTTAAACGTTAGTTCAGAATTACATTTAACATTGCTCTAATGTTACTTTAACGTTGCTTTAGCATCATTTCAACGTATTATAAAAATGTAGTTAACATTAAGTATATTTTACCGATGCTTTAACATTATTTAAATACTTCTATAACATTAAAGTGTCTTTACTATTAGTTTTACGTTATTTTTTAATTAATTTAACGTTACTTTCACGTTATTTCAACTATGTTTTAACGTTCCTTTCACGTTGCCTCTACTTTATTTCATGATAATTTTAATATAACCTTGAAGCTACTTTAGAAGCGCTGAAAATTTACTTAAACGTTTCGTCAAGATTTCTTTAACTTTACTTTAAGGCTGCCTTAACGTTGCTTTAACGTTGTTTTGAAAATATTTTATTAACTTTAATATTTCTTTTACGTTACTTTAACATTGCTTTAAGCTTCCTTTAACCTTACTTGAAGCTCCTTTAACGTTACTTTAATCTTCTTTAACGTTACATTAAGCTTTTTTAACGTTACTTTAAGCTCCTTTAACGTTACTTTAAAATGCTTGAACGGTAACTTTACTTTAACGTTGCTTTATAATTAGCTGCACTTTATTTCAAAAATTGTATTCACCTAATCATTGCGTTTAACGTTAGTTTAACATTGTTTTAATGTTAAAAACAATAAGTTGATAAAATTGAAATTTCCATAGATTTTCTTTGTATTTTAACTTACTGTTTTTCTATTTTATTTGCCTTTGGTTTTTTTGTTTATTTTTTATTACTCTTACTTATTTTTATTCCTTTTTATTTGTTTTTTTATTTTTTTCCGTTTTGTTTATGTTTTTTTTACTTGTTTGTCTCTTTTTTTCTTGCTTTTTTTATTTTCTAATAGTAAAAGACAATAATTTATTGAATAAAATGTAAGATTAGAATAATTGTAATTTTTTTTTTTTTTTTTTTTTGCTAAAATTTTACAGGAACTTCTTCAGGAGGTCGAGGCAGATGAGACCGAGGAAGGTCGTCGAGTGATCGCCAATTCTCGTTGTCTTCCTGGTTCAAATCGTCGACGTCATAAGCGGGATTCCGTATCGGAACGACTCACTCACGGTGGTTCATTGCAAAATCTCGCTCAGCCTATTAATTCAGAATTCGACAGTAGTTTCGCCTATCTCACGTCCGGATCGAGTCACACATACGGTTGTAGTCGAAGAAAAGGAAAGAAGCATACTGGACCGAGTGTTTCCGCCAGGCAACGGGAAGGTGGTTCACTTCCGTCTAACGTCAACGCCTCCCATACAATTGCCTCGCTCGCCAATTTCGATTTAGTCTTTGACAAAAAGGTTTCTTTTAACAATTCTTTTTGCTTCTTTATCATTTCCACATTTTTTCTCTTTCGCAAAAAATGGATTTTAAAAGTTTTTTTAAAAAAGATCTTTGAATTATTTAGTGTGATTTAGAAAAAAAAAAAATGAAAATAATAAATTTGTATTATTTTTGTCTTCTAAATATAGCGTTTCTCGGAGGAAAGAACCGTTTGCGACTGGACGTTAAAGGAAAAATCAAAGTCACTTGATAAAACTTCGTGCACCAGTTCAAAGACGAAATTCGACGAGAAGGATAAGGAGAAAAAGGAGGGAAAACGGGAAATTGCCGGCGGTCCAAGTGAAGCGGAGAGTGAGATTCGTGATAAGAGGAACTGCCGAGGCAAACAAGGGACAAATGAAATGCTCGAATCGGATAACCCGAGCCTAGACTGCAAACGAGATTACATGGTAATCGATCTGAGCGGCGATGTCGAGGTGAATTGCACATTTTTTTTTCATTATTACAGAAAATTTTTAGTTTAAGTGAATTTTAAATCTTCTTTTTTCGGATCGGAAAAAATTGAATTAATTGTTTTAATTTTTCTATTGCTTTAACGTTGATTAAACGTTCGCTTAACGTTGACTTCAACGCTTGCTTAAAGTTGATTTAACGTTGATTAAACGTTCGTTTAACGTTGTCTTGACGTTGGCTTAACGTTGTTTTAACATAACTGAAATCTCACTTTATAGTTACTTAAAAGTTGACTCAATGTTGTTTTAACATTACTGAAAAATGGTATTAAAGTTACTTGCACATTGACTTAACGTTCATTTAACGTTACTGAAACCTCGCTTTTAAGTTACTTAAACTTTGATTCAATAAAATTGATTCAACGTTACTTTAACAACACTAAAAGCCTGCTTACAGTTTGCTTCAACATCATTTTAGTCTTATTTACATGTTGCTGTAACGCTACTTCAATGATTCTTTAATGCTGCTTAAACATTACATTAACGTTGTTTTAACATTACTTGAATGTTCCTTCAACATTATTTAACGTTGCTTTAATACTACTTAAACGTCCCTTTAATATTACTTTAACATTTCTTTAAATAATAATTGAACGTTCCTGAAACACTACTTTTAACGTTCCTTTAACTATGTTTTAACGTTACTTTAACGATGAAATAGCATTATTTCAACTTAACTTCAAAAACAACTTCAACATTACTTTAAAGTTACTTCAACGTTTAACGTTGTATTAACAAAACTTTAGAGTTCCTTAAATGTTTCCTTAACGTTGCTCCAATGATACTTCAATGTTAATGTAAACGATACGTTAAAGTTAATTTAACGGTACAGTAGCAATACATTAACTTAACTTTAACGTTTCTTTAACACTGTTAAAACGCCCCTTGAACCTTAATTCAACTTATATTTAAAATTTCTTTATTTTTACATTAATACGGCTTTAAAATTACATTTTAAATTTTAGTACACTTTATTTTAAATGCAATTTAATTTCACTTTAACGTTTTTGTAAGCATTAATGTTTCCATAAACAACGTTTAAGTAAGGTTAAAGTTATGTTAAGAAAACGATGAAGAAATGTTTTATTAATGTGAAATTAGTGATAAAATTACGTTTAAGTATTTTAAAGTAAAGTTAAAGAAGAGTTTGAGTAATGTTAAATGTTAAAGAAACGTTAAAGTAAAGTTAAATGTTCAAGAAACGTTAATGTAAATTTAAATGTTTAAAAGATGTTGAAAACGTTAAAACGTTACAGTAAATTCTAATGTTAAAGTGTTCAATGTTAAATGTTCTAGTTTTAAAGTATATTGAAACATTACATCAGCGAAACAAAAATTTTACAGAAGGTTTAAGCAACGTTAAAGAACGGTTAAATCAATAATCACAGTTTAACTCTAATTTTACCTTAATATTTAGTTTATCTAATATTAAATGGTCGACTAGGGAAATATTTAAGGAACGTTAAATTGATGATACAGTAACGTTTATGTAAATTTAAACCAACGTTACAGTAGTGTTAAAATAAATATACAATATTCTTAAAGAAATGATAAAAGTATTTTTATTTTAACGTTATTCTAATGTTAGATAACCATTGTTTGGAATGATAAATATAACTTTATCAGTTCAACTTTACTTTAACTTTTCCTTAACGTTTCATGTTCTAACACTGCCTATTATTTCTGAAACGTTGCCTTATTTTCGCTTAATATTACATAACAATCCTTTATCATTGCCTAACGTTTCTATAACGTTGTATAACGTTTCCTTAACATTGCTTAACGTTCCTTTAATGTTGTATATCGTTTCTTTAATATTACCTAACATTTCGTTCAACATTGCCTAACGTTTCATTAATGTTGTATAACGTTTCTATTACATTGACTTAAGTTTCTTTAGCGTTTTATAACGTTTATTTAATTGTAATATAACAATATTCCATCCCAACTATAAATTTGCTTTAACGTTATTTTAATGTTACTTTAACATGCTCGATGCAATTGCAATGTAAATTTAACATTTATTGTAAATTACCTTACGTTTACTTTTACGTTGTTTTAACATTATATTAACGCTACTTCAACATTAACTTACCGCTCTTTTACATTACTTTAACGTTGTTTTAACATTATATTAACGTTAGTTTAACATTACTTTACCGTTATTTTACATTACATTAACGTTGTTCTAACATTGTTTTAACATTACTCTAACGTTGTTTTAACATTATATTAACGTTACTTTAACATTGCTTTACCGTTCTTTTACATTTCTTTAACGTTACTTTAACTTTACTTTAACGTTATTTTAAAATTACTTTAACGTTGTCTTAATTTTACTTTAACGTTAAAAACTAAAAAAAATACTTTTTTAAAGAAAATATATTTATTTTTTAACATTTAGTATTTAAATGAAAAATTGCAATAGTAATTGCACCATAATTGTTTTTGAAATTTACAGCAGGTGCCAGGCAACAATGATCGAAATGCGAGCACTCCGAGTGGCGGGAGTGTTCAGAGATCGCGCTCCATCGAAACGGAGGACGACGAGGGCACGGAACTGAAGATCATTGAGCCAAGGCGTCCAGTTCAATTTATCACAAGGGCCACATTCGATATTGCACAAACGCCAGTCGACAGTACCATTGAATTTCCATTTCGTGATCATCAAAAGGACGAGAAGGCAACATCGAAACTCGCCATCAATGGCTCCGACGCATCGAGTGCACTTCCATTCACGACCTATAACAGTGTTCGTGTCCTTGGCAATCCAAGTTCAACATCGAATGCTGCCTCGACACAGGGCAAAGTTATAGTGCCGAGCATGTACCAAGTCATGCCCGTCACATGGTCGTCCTCAAATCTTGCAATGGGTGAGTGTTGTCTTTTAGTTTTTTATTTGCATGGTTTTTTAAATTTTTTGGTCGAATATCCAATTTGGTATTGTCGGTCATTATTAGCGTTACTCTATTGGTATTTAGACGATAAAAAACGTTTTAACTACTTTAACGTTACTGAAACCACATTTTTACGTTACTGTGACGTTGTTTTAACGTTACTTTAACATTACTTTAACGCTGACTTTACGTTAATCTAGCTTTAGTTTAAAATTAATTTAACGATACTTTAAAGTTACCTAAACGTTAATTTAACGCTAGATTAACGTTAGTTTAACGCTATTTTAACTCTAGTTTAATGTTACTTTAACTTCAATTATAAATTTGCTTTAACGTCATTTGGATGTTACTTTAACATACTTAATGCAATTTATCGTTAATTTAACATTTATTGTAAAATACATTTATTGTTTGTTTAAAATAATTATAATATTGCTTTAACGTTGTTTACGAAAACATTAGAACTAAATTTAACGTTTCCTAAATATTTATTCAAAATGTTCTTAAATTTGATTTATCCTTTTTCAATATTTTTTTAACATTGTTTTAATGTGACACTATTTTTAATTTATCGTTGCTTTAACATTTATTAAACATTGCTTTAACGGTTCTTCAACTTTCATACAATTTAAATTCAACTTTAATTTAACGTTAGTTTTAAATTTAAATTATAAACATTAAACGTTACATAAAACTTTCTTAAAATTACGTAAATATTTTAAGAGTAATTGATGTTTAGTTTAATATTACTTAAACGTTGCTTTAATATTATTTTATTTCAACATTCTTTTACCTTTAATTTAACGTTACTTTGCGGTTTTTTTTGTACTATTGCTTTTAATACTATTTTAAAGTTACCTGAACATTTTTTTGTGCTTTAGTTTTTCTTTAACGTTCTTTTACATTACTTTAACATTAATTTAACATTACTTTAACATTACTTTAATATTACTTTAACATTACTTTAACGTTACTTTAACATTAAGTTAACAAAACTTTAGTTTTACTTCAACGTTGTTTTAACATTACTTTAACGTTGTTTAACTGTTAGTCATACCTTGTTTAATTTTTGTTTTACGTTACTTTAATGTTCCTATAAGCTAATTTTTTCACGTTGTTATAAAGTTATTTTAAAGTTTCTTTAACGTTCCTTTATCACTCTTTTAACGCTCCGTTAATTATCATTTAACCTAGATTTGTCCTCGAGTTAACATTTACACAGTTTAAACTTATTTTAACATTTATTATTTCTGTTATTGACGTTATCGTAACTTTCCTTTATTTTAACATTACTTTTATTTTACTTTAACGTTATAATAACATTACTTTAACGTCACCTTAACATTAATTAAATTTAAGTTTACAGTAATGTTAAAATAATGTTAAAGCATCTTTAGAGTAATGTTTAAATAATGTTAAAGTAATGTTAAAATAACGTTAGAGTAATGTTAAAGTAACGTTAGAGTAATGTTAAAGTAACGCTAATATAATGTTTAAATAACGTTAGAGTAATGTTAAATTAATGTTAAAATTACGCTAATTTAATGTTAAAGTAATGTTAAAGCAGCGTTAAATCAATCTTAAAAAAACGCTAATTTAATGTTAAAACAACGTTAGAGTAATGTTGAAGCAATGTTAGATTAATGTTTAAATAATGTTAAATTAATGTTAAAATTCTTTTAAATTAATGTTAAAATAAAGTTAAAGTAATGTTAAATTAGTATTAAAGCAATGTTAGTGTAATGTTAAACTAATGTTAAAATAACGCTTATTTAATGTTAAAATAACATTAAATTAATGTTAAAGCAGCGTTAGAGTAATGTTAAATTAATATTAAAATAAGGATAATTTAATGTTAAAATAGCGTGAAATAAATGTTAAAGTACCGTTAAAGTAGCGTTAAATCAAAGTTAATGTACCGTTAAGCTAACGTTGAAGTCTTGTTAAATGAACGTTAAAGTGTACTTGAAGTAGCGTTAAATCATCTTTAAAATAAAGTTAAGTTTGAGTTATTAAATTAAACTGAAGGTAAATTACTTTAACATTACTTTAACATTATTTTTTAAATATTTATTTTACAATAACTTTAACTTTTGTGAGAAATTTAGTTTTACTTAAATTTGTCTTTTTTTTTTTGCAACATATTTTTAACGTTCGAACAATGACTCTGATAATATAATTTAAAATTTATATTTTATTTCGCCTCTTTTTTTTTGCAGAAGCAATGTCGAGATTCACCGCTCAACATATCACAGTTAAAGATTCGTCGATAGCCGGTGAAAAAAAGTCATTAGACGAAAATGGTAATGCAGTGCAAAGTTACAATAATGGTGAGCGTAAGAAAAATCGTCGAAAACACACGCAAGAACCAAATGTCATTGTTTATAAGGCTGGTGAGGTTGAGGGTCATCGTAATACCGAGGACATTGATAGTCTTTTGAATTTTATCGAGAACAAGGAGTCAAAGGGTAAAAAGGGCAAAACCGGTAATGGCGTACGCGTGAAAGCAAATTCCGGAGCTAAGCCAAGAAATCGTGACAAGGACACTAAACGCGAACAGATACCCGCCAAACTTCATAAGTCAAATTCACTCGAGGAAATATCGAAAACAAAACTCGAGGATCTCACGATTGAAAAGTGTACGAGTTCGAGTGGCGCGAGCAGTGTCTCCAGTCAGCACAGTGCGTTTCTTTTCTATATTTTTTTATTGAGGAAAAGGAAAATTTCTTTTTTACTAAAAGGAAAAGTGTTTTCTTCTTTTGCTTCAATATTTTTTTTTTTTTTTGAAATTAGGGAAAAACAAAATTAATTTTTGTGGCAACCCTGTTATTTATTATTTATTTTTCATTTCTTATTTATTTACTTTTAATTTGTCAAGTTTGGATATTTTTGTTTTCTTTCAATTTCCTATTTTAATTTTGAGTTTTTGTACTTTATTCTTAAAAAAATTTTAGTTCATCCATTTATTTAATTTAATGTTTTCAAATTTATTAATTATTTTATTATTTATATTCTTAATTCTATTTATTACAATTTATTGCTTCCTCTTTGAGAGGGGGGATTTTTTTTAACACGAAGAATATTTTTTTGTAAATAAATAATGATAATTTTAAGAAAATAGTATACAATTGTTAAGTAATCTTTTAGGTTTGAGATTTTATTTTTTTTCCTCTTCTAATAAACAATTGATTTTAATGATTAATTTATTTTTTTTCTTTTTTTTGAAGGTGCGGGAAACGTGTCGCTCCGAAGATCGAAGCAAAGAAGTACAGGCGACTCGGCGGACTCGAGGGGCGATCGACGTTCCTGGGGCACTGAGGAGGGTCAGTCGATTTATTGCAACGACACTGGCGACGAATACACGATGCGTCGTAATTCAACGAGGAAAATGAACGCAACGGAATCGGAGGCCGAACCTGAATTTCTTGTCGTCACCAAGAAGAAGAAGAGCAAAAAACAAAGACGCAGCTCAAGCGGTAGTCGGGCGCAAAATTTGTCAACTTCTGGCTCGTATCTCCAGAGGTCACGTGGATTCTCCAACGACTATCGAACCCCACTTTCGCCCGAATTAAGGAGGAAATCGGCCAGTAGCATGCCTCCAAGGTAATAATTACTTAATTTTTTAAATTTTTTTCTAACTTGGATTTTAAGCTTTAATTAATTAATTACTAGAATATTTTTTATTATTTTTATTTTGTTTTTAATTTTATAGGCTTCGCACTCATCTACTAAAATCTACTATTTACTACTTTTTTACTATTTGGGTATTTGACTACTATTTGGGTACTTTTTTTAGATTTCAGCCACTAAAAGCTACTATTTCTGTTCTTTTTTTGAGAATTTCCACTGCATCAAATTCTCTAATACTAGAAATCAAAAAACTATTCTCAAAAATTATAATCAAATTCTTTAAAACGATTTAATTATTTTCGAAAAATATTCGAAATTCAATCAATTTCAATATCTAGTATTTTCATAAAGTTTCGCAAAAGAATTCAATTATTTAAAAAAAAAATCATAAAATTCAACAAAAATTCAATTATTTTCATAAATAATAAAAATACAACAGGAATTAAATTAATTTAGAACAGCATTTTCAAAAAAGTTTCGAAAAAATCAATTATTTCACAAAATTTTTATACAATTCTTCACAATAATTCAAATAATTTCACTAATAAAGACATTTTTCATAAAAGTTCAATTTTTTAAAACAATTTTTGATAACATTCTAAGCAAGAATTCAATGATTTTCATAAATAATAAAATTCATCGAAGAATTTCAATTATTTTTAATACTATTTTAAATTAATTAATCGAAAAATTCAATTATTTTCAGAAATAAAGATTTCCAGAAGAATTCAATTATTTAAAATAAAATTTTCATAATATTTATTATATTTCGAAAAAATTAATTATTTAAAACAATTTTTATAAAATTCTTATGAAGAATTCAATTATTTTCATAAATAACAAAATTTTCAACAGAAAATCAATTCTTTTTAAACATTTTAATAAATTTTTTCACAATAATTCAATTATTTTCATAAATAATAAAATTCTTAGCAACTATTCAATTATTTTCATAAATAATAAAATTCATTGCAGGTTTTCAATTATTTTAAATAGAATTTTACAGGAATTGCTCGAGAAATGTAATTATTCTTAAAAATTTAATTTAGATTCCACGAAAAAATCAATTATTTAAAAAAATGTTTTTTTTTAATTCTGTGAGAGAATTTAAATATTTTCAAAAATATTAGAATTTTCACAGGAATTCAATTATTTTCAAATATTTTAATAAAATTGTTCGAAAGAAATAAATTATTTTAAATACTAATTAAATTTAATTTTTTTGAAATAATTAAATTATTGTTGTAGACTTTAATAAAAATTCTTCCCAAGAATTCAATTATTTACATAAATAATTCTTCGAGAGAATTCAATTATATTGATAAATAACAAAATTATTTCCGAAAATTCAATTATTTTGAAGCATTTTAATAAAATTCTTTGGAAAATTTAATTATTTTCATAAATAATAATATTCATCACAAGAATTCAATTATTTTTATAAGTAATAAATTTTTTTTGGATATTCAATTATTTGAAAAAATTTCTCATAAAATCGTTCGCAAGAATTCAATTATTTTCAAAAATAACAAAATTTCTAACACAAAATCAATTCTTTTTAAACATTTTAATAAAATATTTCTCAACAATTCAATTATTTTCAAAAAAAATTAAATTCTTCTCAAAAATTCAATTACTTTTAAAAATTTTAACCGAATTCTTAGTAACTATTCAATTGTTTTCATAAATAATAAAATTTTACGCAGGATTTTAATTATTTTTAATACAATTTTACAGGAATTGCTCAAGAAATGTAATTATTCTTAAAAACTTAATTTCAATTCCTCGAAAAAGTCAATTATTTAAAAAAAAAGTTTTTTTTTAAATTCCTTGGAAGAATTTAAATATTTTCAAAAATATTAGAATTTTCACATGAATTCAATTATTTTCAAATATTTTAATAAAATTGTTCGAAAGAAATCAATTATTTTAAATACCATTTTAATTCAATTTTTTTGAAATAATTCAATTATTTTTTTAGATTTTAATAAAGTTCTTCCTAAGAATTCTAATTACTCACATAAGTAATTCTTCGAAAGAATTTCATTATGTCGATAAATAACAAAATTATTCACGAAAATTCAATTATTTTGTGGCATTTTAATAAAATTCTTTTGTAAAATTCAATTATTTTCATAAATAACAATATTCATCACAAGAATTCAATTATTTTCAATACAATTTTAATTGAATTCCTCGAAAGAATTTAATTATTTTCGTAAATTTCAACAATAAAATTTTATCACAAGATTTTAATTATTTTCATAAATAACAAAATTATTTCTCAAGAATTCAATAATTTTTTAAAATCATAAAATTCTTTTCAGATATTTAATTATTTTTACAAATTTTAATAAATTTCTTTGCAACTATTCAATTATTTTCATAAATAAGAAAATTCATCGCAGGATTTCAATTATTTTTAATATAATTTTACAGAAATGGCTCGAAAAATGTAATTATTCTTAAAAATTTAATTTCAATTCCTCGAAAAAGTCTATTATTCAAAAAAATGGTTTTTTTTAAATTCTTTGGAAGAATTTGATTATTTACAAAAATATTAGAATTTTTCACAGAAATTCAATTCTTTTTAAACATTTTAATAACATTTTTCACAATAATTCAATTATTTTCATAAATAATAATATTCTTCTCAGGAATTCAATTATTTTTGAATAATTATTTTGTCAAGAATTTTAATAGAATTCTTTCTAAAATTTAATTATTTTAAAAAACTTTTCGCAATTTAATGATTTTCAATATTTACTATTTTATAAAATTTCGAAACAGAATTTAATAGTTTAAAAATTTTTTTGTAAAAAAATCTTCGTAAAAATTGAATTTTTTCATGAATAATAAAAATTTTTCAGGAATTCAATTATTTAAATTAGAATTTGCATAAAATTAGTCGAAAGAATGAAATTTTTGTCAGTTTTGTGAAGTGTCTAAAACGATTTGTTTTGATCGTCAAGTTTAATTTTTCGATAGCTGCTTTTTTACTACTTTTTTTTAGTTTGAAGGCTACTTTTTTTAAAATTTATTATCGAGTGCGAAGTCTACTTTTATTTTAGTTTTGATTTTTTACTTTTAGTTTTATTTTCGTTTTAGTTATAATTTTACTTTAGTTTTGATTTTTTACTTTTAGTTTTATTTTGGTTTTAGTTATAATTTTACTTTAGTTTTAGTTTTATTTTACATTTTATTATTTTTAATGACTCAATGATAGTGTAAGTGATAATTTCCTTTTTTTTCTATCTAATTTCATATGAAAACACAGCGACAAGTCGGACAGCAGCGATTTGGATTCGGTGCATTCGTTGCCGGTGACGTCAAACACTGAGAAGCACAATCTAACAAAAACGGCAAATTCATCGGGCGGCACACCGCAAGCGAGTTATGCCGATATCGCGCGTATGGTCTCGATAAATATGACCAATTCGATATTAAATGACACGCACATGGTGCCCAATGTATTGAACAGCACTAATTGGCCGAGTGTTGTTACGACAACAACAAAAGCACCATCCGAACCCGATAAATTAACACACGATTCATATCCAAGTCTCGATGAAATTCAACACAGCGAACGAAGAATGAGGCAAAATAATTTTTCGCACAGCAATCATGTTACAAGTGCATTGAGTTTAAGTTTCGATAAACCACCGTCGCCAGTTTTGATGAAATCAAAAATTGACAATAAAAAAGCAGAGGCTCGCGAAGAGGCGATCAATAAAAATATTCAAGTCTTCAAATACGTGCAGGACATTGAGAAGATGCAGCAGAGCTTAACGCAGGTAACTTTTTTTTTCTTTTACTTTACTTTCTATTCTTCCTGAGGTAATTTTTTTTTCATTATGAATTTTGGTGTCTTTTTTTGTTTTCCTTATAAACTATATGAAATCACCACGAATTCTAATATAAAACCTTCAATTTTTTCTACTTCTGACAATATTTTTTTCTTTTAAATAACTTAATACTTGAAGAACTATTATAAAATTATTAAATTATTTAATGAATAATTAATTACTTAAATTTTATAAAATTTCAATTTTAAATAAATTTAATTAGAAATTTTAAAGAACTTTGATTTTTGAAAAAATTTTAATAATTCCAATTCTTCTGAAATTAGTTACATTTTTTATTAAATATTTAATTATTTATTAAAAATAATGGATTTATAGAAGAATTTTAGTTAAAAACACGAAAAAAAATTGAATTTGGGAGAAGTTGCAAATGATTGCAGAAATTAATAAAATTCTACACAAACATTTAATTATTTTCATATTAATACAAATTTCACAGGAATTCAATTATTTACAAAATTCACAATAATTCAATTATTTTCATAAATAATAAAATTCATCGCAGAATTTCAAATATTTTTAATACAATTTGAAAAAATTCAATTATTTAAAAATTTGTTGATACAATTCTTTATGAGAATTCAATTTTAATAAATATTCAATTATTCAATAAATTATTTTTGTTGTATTTAAATAATTGAATTCCCGTTGAATTTTCTAAAAAAATTGATTTAAAAATGAATTTCAGTTAAAATTTTAGATAATAATAAAAATTTTCTCTGAAATTCAATTATTTTTAAAAATTTTCAAAAGTTTTAATAAAATTCTTGACCAAATTTCAATTATTTTCAAAATTTTTCCTAAATCCAATTATTTTCAATATGAACTATTTTAATAAAATTTTTCAAAAGAATTCAATTATTTAAAAAAAAATTAAATACATTTCTGAGCAAACATTTAATTATTTTCATAAAACAATAAAATAATTTCACAGGAATTCAATTATTTAGAAATTTTTTATAAATTTCTTCGCAATAATTCAATTATTTTTATAAATAATAATATTTTTTACATAATAATTTCAGTTATTTTCATAAATAATAAAACTCATCGGAGAATTTCAATTATTTTTTAATATAATTTTCAATTAAATTCTTCGAAAAATGTAATTATTTAAAAAAATTTTATTAAAATTAGTCGAAAGAATTCAATTATTTAAAAAATTTTTTGACAAAATTCTCTATAAGAATTTAATTTTGAAAAACATTGAATTATTCAATAAATTGTTTTTTATATTTAAATAATTGAATTCTCGTAGAATTTTCTAATAAAAATTGTTTTAAAACTGAATTTCAGTTTAAATTTGAGATAATAATTGAATATTAAAAAAATTAAAAATAATTCAATTTTATAAAAGTTGCGTTTATAATTTTTATATACAACAAATAACTTTTCGCTGGAATTCAATTGTTTTTAAATTAAATTTTAATATAATTTCTGTAAAAAATTCAATTATTTTCATAAATAATAAAATTCTTCAGAAGAATTCAATTATTTTCAATGCAATTTTAATTGAATTTCTTGAAATAATTTAATTATTTTCGAAAATATTAACATTAAAATTTCATCACAAGATTTTAATTTTTTTTCATAAATAACCAAATTATTCACAAGAATTCAATTAATTATTTCTGAAAATTTCAACAATAAAATTTCATCACAAGATTTTAATTTTTTTCATAAATAACCAAATTATTCGCAAGAGTTCAATTAATTTTTAAAAATCATAAAATTCTTTCAGATATTTAATTATTTTTACAAATTAATTCGATTTTTCGGAGGAATTCAAGAATTTTTCAATACAATTTTAAATAAATTTCTTCGAATGAATTCAATTATTTCTTTAAAATAATTTAAAAAATTCAGTTATTTTCTTAAATTGTAATAAAATTTTGAAAAGAATTGAATTAGGTTCAAAACAAATTTTTATAAAATTCAATAATCAAATGTATGATTATAATTATTAACAAACATAATTTTTATTTTAAAAAGAAACTTAAAAGAAATTCTTCGTAAAATTCAATTACTTTCAAAATTTCCAAATCAAATTATTCAAAAAAATTCCATTATGTTTCAAAAAATTGAAAGAAAATCTTGAAATCAATTCAATTATTTTCAAAATTTTCTGTCAAATTCTTCGCAAGAATTCAATTTGAAATTAAAGTTTCCAAAAATTTGAATTTTAAACAATTTTAATTAAAAATGCCAAAGAAGTTGATTTTCTAAGAAAATTTCATTCGAATTTTTTTTTTAAATTAATTGAATTTTTCAATATTTTAATTTCAATTTTTTAAATTTTAATTGAACAATTTTCAAATATATATAGAAATTTTATGAAATTGATTTTCAAACAAGTGGATTTCGGAAATATTTCAGAACTTTTTTTTCTTTAAATAAATATTAATATTGAATTCTCAAGAATAATTAAAAAATAATTGATTCAGAGAAGAATTTTTGTTAAAAATTCTAGAAAATGATTTAATATTGAAATTTAGAGAATTATTTTGGAAAAGTTACAGTAGCAATTCTTATCTTTATTAATGAATTTCAAGAGATTTGAAAATTGAAATTAAAATCTTAATTCCTATAGAAACATGAATATTTTTTCATATAAATTAAGATTTTTAAAAATTTCAATTTTAAAATCTCTTTAAATTAAAATCAAATAAATATTTTTCCATATGAATTAGGATTTTTAAAAATTTCAATTTTATTGATAATATTAAATTAATTTCTAGGGGGAAATAATAACAGTTGAATATTTATTTTAAAAAGAAACTGACGAAGTTTCGAATAATTTCAAAAATTTTAAATTCTAATTCTACATTTAAAGATATTCAAAAATAGGGGAAAAATAAAATGAAATTTTTGTAATAATCCTGATTTTTCCTTTTTGCTTTTATTGTTAATAGTTTTATTAAAAAAAAATTCGTTTTTTTCAGGATAACAAAACCAGTAACAACTCTAGTCCAAATTCAAATGAAACAACGCCCACAAACCCAGTGCCACCGAAAATCAGCAATCCCGTCTCAATGAGTTCGCCCATCGAATTTGAACTCAACAGTTCAAACGAAAGCGTTAAAGAATCATTGAAAACAAATTCCCGCGTAAGGAAAACTTCCCAAAATCCCGGACACGAGGAAAATAATCCAAAAAAATCCGAAGATGCTAAATCAACCCAAAGTCACGATGTCAAAACACATCATCATCATCATCAACAACAACAACAACCACCACAACAACAACAAAATAACGAATTGAAAATTCAACAAAATTACGAGTCAAAAACACAAAAGAATCCCGAAACAAAAGCAGAAAAACACAATAATAATAATGATGAATCAGACGTGAAATCACGAACAAAAAATTCTACACCAAGTGCTTCCACAAATACATTAACAAAAAGTGAAAAATTCACCAAAGCATTAAATCCAAAAACAATTTCATCATTATCAAAAAATAATCGCAATGACGAGTCGGAGAAAAAATCATCATCGAATAATAAATTGGAAAGAGATGAAAAATTGGAAAATAATTCACGACCAGCGGTTATATTACTTGACGAGAATAATTCAGAGAATTCACGTAATTCTGATTCAAGTGAATTGACATTTGGTTTTGAGATAAATGAACAACTTTTACTTGCCGAAGACACGGAGGAGACAACACCCACGCCTAGTCCTGTTTTTTCACCGGGTGTACCGCCGCCATTTAATAAACAACAAGCATTGCCATTGGCACAGCCACTATCATCGTCATCATCAACAACCACATCGTCAACGTCAAATTCAACATTAACAGCAGCAGCCGGTGGTCATATTAATCCAACGGCATTAACAAATACCTATCAGAAGCATGTGAGAATATTCGATAAATATCCGGGTAATTTTCATATGAATCATCCGGGACATCATCCAATACATCATCATCATCATCATCCTCAGGGTATGCCAATTGCACATGTTATGCAAGCGTCGCCAAATGTGATCTTTAGGTTTCAACCGCCGCCGGTATTTATAAGACCGCCGCCAATGGTGCCGCCTGCTAATATGGAAAAATTCATACAGCACACAACGACGCATCCAAAGGAGGATTTTTCAGTGCGTTACGTTGCACCGGAGCGTACTGTCAATGTACAAAACTATAATCATGATAAGATTGTGTCATTCGTTGGATTAGGTGAGAAGACATATTTTTTTGCTTTAACTTTAATTTAAGGTTTCTTTACTACTTAAACTTTAATTTAAGATTATTTTACTGCTTTAACTTTAATTTGAGGTTTTTTTTACTACTTGAACTTTAATTTAAGGTTATTTTACTAATTTAACTTTATTTTAATGTTCCTTTATTATTTTAACACTACTTTAACAATATATTTTATTGCTTCAATTTTACTTTAACATTATATTAGGATGGTTTAAACGTTATTTTAACGTTACCTGTACTTTAATTTAAAGTTACTTTTTTAACTTTAATTTAACGTCCTGTTACTTTAATCAGGGTTACCACAAGTCAGGTAATTCAGGGAAAACTCAGGAAAAGTAGAATTGGTCAGGAAAAAGTCCGGGATTTTTATTAAAAGTAATGAAAAAAAAAGAATTTTATCACATATTCATGGAAATAATTTAATTTTATCGAAAAATTTCAATATTTGGAAAAATAATTGAATTTCATCAAAGAATTTCAATATTTGGGAAAGCAATTGAATTTCATCGAAGAATTTAAATATATTTATTATTTTATTTATTTATTTAGTATTTAAAAATAAAAAAAATTATTTGAAAATTATTTGAATTCTTGTGAAAAATTTTCTTAAAATATTTGAAAATAATTGAATCGTTTCAAAGAATTTTTTCTATTTCTGATAATAATTATTTTTTAAATAACTTAATTCTTGAAGAATTATCATAAAATTATTACACTTACAAATTATTTTATTTAATTTTACTTTTACTATTTCAAAATTAATTGAATTTTAAAAGAGTTGTGTTTACAATTTTTATAAATAGATAAACCATGAGAAGGTTATAATTCGAAATTTTAGAAAATTTCAATTTTAAATGAATTTAATTAGAAATTTAAGAGAACTTAGATTTTTGAAAACTTTTAGTAATTCAAATTCTTCTGAAATTAGTTACATTTTTGAATAAATATTTAATTATTTATTAAAAATAGATAATGAATTTACAGAGGAATGTTAGTTAAAAACAAAAAAAAAATTGAATTTTGGAAAAGTTACAAATAATTGGAAAAATTCAATTATTTTGAAAAATTAATAAAATTCTTCCCAGAAATTCAATTATGTTCAACAATTTAAAGAAATTCTCGTCAAAATTTAAAAATTATCTTTATTTAATATAATTTTTCTCTGAAATTAAATTATTTTTAAACATTTTCAAAACTTTTAATAAAATTCTTGTCAAAATTTCAATTATTTTCAAACATTTTCCTCAATTCAATTATTTTCAATATCTACAATTTTAATAAAATTTTACCAAAAGTATTGAATTATTTAAAAAGAATTTTTAATAAAATTTTACGCAAACGTTTAATTATTTTCATAAATAATAAAAATTTCACAGGAATTCAACTTATTATTTATTTAATTAAGAATTTTTATAAATTTCAAAGCAAAAATTCAATTATTTTCAAGAATAATAACATTTTTTACAGGATTCAATTAATTTCATAAGTAATAAAATTCTTTTTAACAAAAGAATTATAGCATTATAGCATGATTTTGTAGAAATAATTGAATTATAAGAAGTTTTAAATGTTTGCAGAAATTCAATTATGTTAAACAATTAAATATAATTTTTGTCAAAATATCAATTATTTTTATAAATTTTAATAAAATTCTTCTGTGTAATTCAATTCCTTTCAAAAATTTCAAGAAAATTCTTGGCAAAATTTCAATTATTTTCAAAAATTTTTCAAAAGAATTCAATTATTTAAAAAAAATTTTAATAAAATTCTACGCAAACATTTTATTATTTTTATAAATAATAAAAATTTCACAGGAATTCAATTATTTACAAACTTTTTATAAATTTCTTCGAAATAATTCAATTATTTTCATAAATAATAAAACTCACCACAGAATTTTAATTATTTTTAATAGAATTTTAATCAAATTTCTCGAAAAAAGTAATTATTCCTAAAAATTTTATTGAAATTCGTCGAAAGAATTAAATTATATAAAAATTAGTTGATAAAATTCTTTATGAGAATTCAATTTTGAGAAACATTCAATTATTCAATAAATTATTTATTTTAATATTTAAATAATTGAATTCTCGTTGAATTTTGTTATAAAAATTGATTTAAAAAAGAGTTTCAGTTAACAGTTTAGATAATAATTGAATATTAAAAGCATTGTAATTTGAATTTTTAGAAATAATTGAATTTTAAGAAGGTTTCAAATTAAAATCGTTGAAAATCTGAATTTTTCATACTTTTAACTAACATATAGTAGAATTAATTTTTTTTGAAAAAGTTTAATTGAATTTTTTTTTGAAATTATTTGAAGTTTTTATTTTCTAATATATATTTAATTAAGGAATTGACAAATAATCGAAATTTTGTGAAATTGAATTGTAAGCAGATGAATCTGAAAATTCTCAAAGAAATTTTGGAAAAATTATTAAAAATAATTGATTTAAAGAAGAATTTTAGTTAAAAAATTCTAGAAAATAATAATTGCATTGAAGAAAATAATTTTGAAGAAGTTGCAATAGCTTTATCTTAACGTTGGTTTATTGTTAAAATTTTCTTAAACGTTCAATGAACGTTTGTTAATTTACTGTTAAGTAACATTTCTTTAATGATACTCTAACGATTATTTTTGATATTTTTTTTATTATGATGCTTATAAAACCTTAGCTTATTTTTTATTCCTTATTTCGTTAACATTAATTAAATATTGATTTTTTGAAAAGTAACGTTTCCTAATCGTTAATTTGTTATTATTTAACAATTAAAATAATGTTGATTAATGGTTGCGTAACATTTCTTTAACATTAAATTATTTTTTTTGTCCTTATTTGGTAATTTTCGTTCTTTCTTTTTGCTTTTTTTTATTTCGTATTAATATTATAATTATCAAAAAAATTAATAAATAAATAATATTTTTCAGCGTGGGAGGATGTAATGAAGGAAATGCCAGCAACGACAACCGGTCGTGTACGATATTACAGTGGACAGTGAGAAATAACTTTTTAAAAACAAAAATATATAAACGAAAAAGAAAAAAAGAATAAAAATCTATACATATATAAATATATATTTAAAAAAAAAGAAAAAAAACTATAATTTTAAACTAAAGTGCTTCGTATAACAGTAATAAAAAAAAAAATAAAATAAAATTTGAAAAAAAACAAATTAATTCACGTCTTCAAGAATCCGTCGACAGAACATTTTTAGTGCGTTATTAAAGTGCGCGGATTTAAAAAAATAAATAATAATGATAATAATAATAAAAAAAAACTGCAAGTTCATCACTTAAAAGTGTGAAAATAGTTTTAAAAGAAAAAAAAATAAAATAAAACTTTTAGGCTGATTTTTAAAACGCTTCGAATGGGGATTAAAGAAAAAAAAATGTGTGTTCTCGAATGAAAAGTGTGTGAAAAAAAGAATGTATAAATAAAAAGAATTTCAATGAATGAGCGAGGAAAATTCAAAGAAAAAATAAGTGGATAACAATTAATTTTCCCTTTAAATCAAGAATTTAGTGATAAGGATGAAAATTAAATGAAACGGAAACAATAGTGTAGAAAAGAATAGTCAAGAAAAGAAGAAGAAGAGGAAAAAAAAGGAACAGGAAAACGAATTCAAATTAAACAGAAGATAAAGGAAGAAATTTAAGAAGAAGAAGAAGAAGTAAAAAAATTAAGAAGAAAAAGAGGAAGCAACGAAAAGGACAAAGAAGAATTAAAAGTGAACAGAAAATGTAAAGAAGGAAAAGAAGAAAACAAAGAAAAAAAGGAAAAGAAAAAGTAAAGAAGAAAAAGAAAAATTAAACGAGGAAAAGAAAAAGTGAAGAAGAAAAAGGAAAATTAAACGAGGAAAAGAAAAAAAAGAAAAAGTAAACAAGAAAATTAAAAAGTGAAGAAGGATAAGAAGAAATGAAAAGTTGAGAGAGAATAAAAAAATGAAATGAAAAATAGGAAAATTTTAACAAAAAAAGAAAATTCAAAAGACAGAGTCCAGAAATAATAAAAAAAGTGTAAAGACAAAAAATAGAAATATCCAAAAATAAAGTTTAAAAACAAGAAAGAAATATTCAAGCATAAAAAAAATAGTCAATAATAATGAAAGAAGAAAATAGTCAAAAATCAAGAAAAAAAGGAAACGGAAGAAAGAAATATTCAAGTACATAAAAGAAAGTATAAGAAATAGTTAAGGATAAAGATCAAGAAAAAGAAATAGTCAAGAATAAAGAACAGCAAAAAAAATCAACAAACAAGAAAAGGGAAAAAATTAGTCAAGAATAAAGAACAGCAAAAAAAAATCAACAAACAAGAAAAGAGGAAAAAATAGTGAAAAATAAAGAACGGAAAGAACAAGGAACAGAAAGAAAAAATGAAGACTAAAGAATCGAAAGAAAATGTCAAGAATGAAGAACAGAAAGAATCAAAAATAAAAAAAGAAGGAAACGGAAAAGGAGTCAATAACATGAAGAAAGGAAAGAAACAAACGTCAAGCATAAAGAATAGAAACGTTAAAAAATAAAATAGTCAAGAAATTGAAAAAGAAGAGAAAAACAGAAATGAAATAGTCGAGAATTAAAAAGGATATAGACAAGAATTAAAGAAAGAAACAAAATAGTCGAGCATAAAGAAAATTAATAGGGAAGAAATAGTCAAGAATAAAATAAAGAAAAAAAGGAAGAAATAGAAACGAAATAGTCAATAATAAAGAAAAAAATAGGGAAGAAATAATCGAGAATAAAAGAAAAGAAAGAAGAAATAGTCAGAATAAAAGAAAAGAGATAAGAAATAGTCAAGAATAAAGAAAAGAGAGATGAAATAGTCAAGAATAAAGGGAAAGAAACGAAATAGTCAAGAATAAAGAAAAGAGAAAAATAGAAAGAAAAAGAAAGAAAGTAATTAAGAATAAAGTAAATCAAGAAACGCTAAATAGTCAAGACTATAAAGAAAGGAAAACGTGAAGAGAAAATTAACCTCAAAGGTAAATGAAGAAACGAAAATGTAATGAAAGAAGAAGAAAGTTTGAAAGTTAATTAATCGAGAATAAAAAAAGAAAATTCTCGATTTGATTCAAATTCTGAATCAACGAAGCCAAGCGGCGCAAATGAGTGCCTCAGGTAGTGAAAAACAAAAAAAATGCAACAGAAAATTGCAGAAAAAATAAAGCAAAAAAAAAATAAATAAAAAAACTGTACATAAAGAGTGAAATAGTCGAAGCGGTTTTCGGGTGTAAATCCTCAACAAAAAAAGGACAAAGGAAGTTCGAAAATAAAGAAGAAGAAGAAGAAGAAATCCTGAAAACACTAAACAAACCAAATAGAACATTTTATTGTGTATAATTCCCGTGAAATGTGTTACGATTTAAATCGACTTTTATTTCTCGCGGGAAATATAATTATTATAATGTCAATCAAAAGAAGAAACGTAAGAAGAAGAAGAAGAAGAAGAAGAAGAAAAATTCACACTGTACAGTTTCGTCCAGAAATTTCTAGAATCAGTTAAAAGAGAAGAGCAAAAAAAAAAAAAAATAATGAAGGTAAAAATAACTAAAACTATACATTTAAAACTAAAAAAAAAAATACATACACATTTAGAAATGTCAAGAGTCCTAAAAGAAATTCAGTAGAACTGCAAAAATTGTAAATAAAACTGAAAAATCATCCCTTGTAAATTTTTTTTTTCTCTCTTGACACAAAAAAAAAACAACAACTCGTGGTAGTGTTAATTAAAACTAAAAACAAAAAAAAGTTCGTTTAATAATTAAAAATTGTTAAAAGAAAAAAAACGTCTATAAATATAAAAAATATATATTTAAAAATACTTCCTCAAAAAAAAAAAAAAAACAAAATTGGTTTTTAAAAATAAAACTTACTCCAGAGAAGATAGAAAATAAACGATCATGAATTTATAATTATATTTGGAAAAACAGCAAAAAAAAAAAAATTAATAATAATAATAATAATGATAATGATAATGATAATGTGATGATGGATCTTTAAATTTCTTTTTGTAGTTAGCGAGCTGGATTACGCTTAGATATTTTCTTTTTAGAATGTAGGTTTGAAAATAGAAAGAGAGAGAAAGGAAAAATCGAGGAATGTAACAAAAATTATTTTGAGTGAAAATGAAGAAAATGCGAAAGGAAAAAAATAGAGAAAATAACGGGGGGGGGGGGGGAGGGGAATAGAGAAAAAGTAAATAAACGCAGAGAAAAAATCGAAAAAAAACAGAAAAATTACGTTTGGAAAGAATTGATTTTTTTTTCTCTGCGTTTTGTGTATTTGTCGATTTTTTTCCTGCGCAAAAAAAAAAAATTAAATCTGTTTTTTCCAAAGAAAATGAAACTCATCTGTAATTTACAGTTTTTCATTCGATATTTAAATATATGTAAAAAGAAAAATTCTGTTTTTGTTACGAGCGTTAATAAACAAAAAAAATTATAGAGAAAGAGAGAGAGAGAGAAAGTTGCTGTTCGAATTGTAGAATTAAAAGAAAACAATTGAGAAAAAAAATTCAGAGCGAGAGAGAGAAAAAGTGAAAATAATGCTTGTAAATATCGCAGGAAGAACTGGACTGTGTTTTTTTTTATTGTTAGAAAATACTTTAGATACGTGTGAATGGAAAATTTTTTATTTATTTATTTTGTTTCTTTTTTTCTGAATTTTAATCTCGAGAGAAAAAAAATTTGAGGAGGAAAATTTTATTTAATGATTTTTTTTTTATTTAAATAACATTTATTTTATATAGTTGATAAATTATTTTCTTTTTCTCTTCTTTTTCTGGATTTTTTTCTCTCTCTCTCTCTCAATTTCTTTGCCCAAGAAAATTGTTTTAATTTCAACTCTTTGAAATTGTACAAGTGGTGGGAAATAAAATTCTGTTTTAATTCGATTTTAAAGACGTGAATAAATAATAATTTTTACTGCGGCGAAATGTGTAAAACTAAATAAATAATAATAATAAACTAAAAAGGAGAAAAAGAAAAATAAAAATGAAATTGAATAGGAAAGGGAAATTAAATTGAATAGAAAAAGTAAAATTAAACTGAATAGAAAAAGAAAATTATATTAATTAGAAAATGAAAACGAAAAAATTAAAAACGAAAATTAAATTAAATTGAAGGAAAAAATAAAAAAAAAATAGAGGAGAAAAAAATGTACAATTTCAATAATTTTATCACAATAACATCGAAATTTTTCGGGCAAAGAAAATAGAGAAAATTTTTCTTTTATTTTTCTGATTTTAACTAATTTTGACACAATTTTATTAAATAGCTGCGTTCGTTTAAAATATATTTATTTGCTTGTAGGAAATAAAATAATAGTAATTTTAAGAAACTAAAAAATAATTAAACAATTAAAAAAAATTTTAAAATCGAAAAACCCCGCTGGATGGGAATTTTCAAACAGAATTTTGTTCACATTATTTTTATTCTTGAAAACATTTTATCTCATTGGAAATTTTTCAACTTTTCCGTGTCTTTTTATCTATAATTCTTCGTTCCCTATTTTATGTAGTTTTTGAAAAAAAATTACAATTATTATTATTATTATTAATATTATTTCGCTAGTTTACGTAGTTTTTGGAAAAAATATTTTATTATTATTATAATTATTATTATTATTATTTTCATTATTAATTTTATAAATATTATTATAATTATTAATATTTATAATAATTTAGAATATTAATAAAAAAGTAATTATTTATATAAATAATAATTCGTGAATGAAAACAAATTGTTAATGTTAATAATTATTATAAGTATTAATTGTAATATGAATAATAATATTAATAAACACTAATGTTAATAAACTGTAAATAATGTAATAAGTTATTAAAGTCATTATTATTATTATTAATAGTATAAATAATAATAAAGCTAGCAATAAAAGTAATAATAATTAGGTAATAAAAATATAAATAGAAATAAAAAATGATAATAAAATTATAATAATTATAAAAATGCTAATAATAATAACAGTCATAATAATAACAATAATAATAATAATAATAATAGTAGTAATAATTATAATAATAATAGTAATAACAAAAACAATAATAATAATAATAATATTTAATAATAGTAGTAATAATAATAATAAAAAATAAAATACCACAAAGTGAAAATACTACTACGAATAATAATAATAATAATAATAATAAAAATAGTAATAATAATAGTAATTAATTATAATTATTACAATTTAATATTTTTTGTTTGTAGAAAAAATTCAGAGAGAACAAAAAATGGGTTTTTTTATTGAAAAGTTCTTCCAATATTCTATTGTATAAAAAAAAAATTCGGTTCCTTCCAT